AAATTGAGATTTGATTTTCTAATACAAAAAATTGAGGCATTAAGAAATCATCATTCTTGTAAGATACTCCCTTTTTCCATACAAAAAAAAGACTCAACAAAAGACCTTCCAACAATTTCACGGTTCAGAGAACACACTTTTAAGTAGAAGTTTTTAGAACAAGTTACTATACGAGAATGTTGTTAATATCGGTAACTCCGCAAGATCAATCCAATGATGGTTCCTAATTCTGATTTGACGCGAACAGATTTGTTCAATTAGCTTTCGGGCGTGTTACAGCGAGCTGATAAAGAGTCGCAGAGGGTGAGTTTCGTGTACGACAAGTTATTCGACTAATGATCATTCATTTAATTGTTACGGGCTGGTACACTCGTAGCGATTGTTCGCGAAATTGTTTCTCGTGCATCCCCAATTGAACGATCCTCCGCGAAACATAGGAGAAACATATAATATCGGGAGCTTTTGGACAAACAACCGACGCGATAGTCCGTGGTTAGCGTTTACAGTGGCGTTTGTGACTCCGGTCGAATAATCCCGGAACCTGTTATAGTCAGACACAGCCCAAAATAGTCTGATAACCGGCTGAACTGAACCCGAAACAGTCGGCCGATATCCTACCAACTCAACTGTAATACCGATTGCGCCGATTAAATAATTTACATTCCGTATTTGAAAATTTATTCCTTCGAGTGTTAAATAATTTAGTTATCCGAATTAGTCAGTATTAACTAATTTGTTAACTAACCTTTATACAGAGTTCCGGTTGGATATCTAATTTGAAATATTGAATAACTCTTGCAACAAAATTTGTATCTGCGGAAATGTTATATTCATTTGAATTTCTTACTGAAAATTGTGCAATTAAGAGAGAAATATCTCGTCACTTCTAAAGGTATTGATCTTTCTTTGAAATGCTTTGCACAGATCTACTGAAGAGACTGCGGTTTAACGGCATTGTGGTAGAATATATTGTGCGAGAGAGAGAGAGAGAGAGAGAGAGAGAGAGAGAGAGAGAGAAAGAGAGAGAGTGTATGTGCAGTGTTTAAACGTCGAGTACTAAAGGCGAAACTGCTCTACAGTTGTGAAGCACAGTGGTTTTCGTTCACTGCTCGTTTCCATTCAGCGGAAATTTATCGTCGCGATTTCGACGGCTCACAACCGTGAAAAGGGCGTGAATGCGATCGTTGTCGAAGCGTTGTCGGTTCGAAGGGAAAGGGATGAAACGCCTTTGGAAATGCAACAAGTCCGCAAGATGCTTTCTTCTTCTTCTTCTTCTTCTTCTCATTATTCTTTTGTGTCGTTGGAACTTGGCCAAAGATGACCCTCTTGACAACCGCTCTCGTTTCGCTTTTCACGTCTTCTTCAGTACTATGTATTCTTCTCTCTAAGATTTTCTTGGCAGCGCTCGCAGTTTGGCGCTCGTGATAATTGCAGATTGCGTCTCTTGTTGAAATCTATTAGGTCTTGTCCAGATCTAAAATCTTTAGTACCAAATAAAATAGCACCTAACCGAATAAAATAGTATCAGAAACATGTGTCGCTAACTTAAAAATGCAAGTAACACTTAACATTGTATCGATGACAATACTACAAGTTTATGTTTTTGATTTAGAAACAGTAAAAATGAAAAGAATATCGGCGATTAGTAACGTCTTAAGATGAACTGGGCATTATAATAAAATTTTAAAAACTATTTCAATTTTTCTCATAACAAATTTCTGTCATATTTTAATTTATTTAATAAAACACTATTGCCGTATTTTTCTCGCGTTTTTAAATTGAATCAAATCCAAAATCTTTTTCTAAAGACGTTCGCTTGCCTAATATAACTATAATATAACTATATTCTTGATCTAGAAGTTCTAAATCTGTATGAAATAATTTTTTAATTAATAAAAGTTGAATGTAGAAACGTATGACAATTTTTATTGCCGAGAAAGATATTAAAGACAAAGCTATTTGAGAGATATCTATGCTGTTTATTAATGACGCAAATCTTCTTTCAAATGTTTTTTAATATTTTATGCGCGAACCTGAAGTGAAATTAGAAGATTCATTATTCAGCTCTTCATTATAAAATAAAGCTTTTCGCAGTTAAAAAGCGAATTCTCAACATTCATATGAATCTTCCTTACAACTTGTGGATCATTCTCGATTGTGGCACGCTAATTGCAATAAGAAATCCTCGCGTTTGACAATGTGTTATTAAGTGGCACGGCTTACCGAAAGCCGCTTACATGCGTAGAGCGGCTTTGGAAAGCTGTCGTGCTCACTTCACTGCTTTCGATTGCATCGAGATTGCAGATTTCAGAGGGCTTCGTTCGCACTTCTGGTTCACCGTAATGATCAGCTATCTAAATTCGCAAACCGTTCAATTTCGATTGTATCCTGCGAGATTTCTCAGCACTTTATTCACGATGCAATTTACGCATTAGTGAAGAAATCGATCCGAAAATTTTACTTTCTCCTCTCTCTGCTCGATATAAAACTAATTTGAATTTAACTTATTTATGTCAGTTAGATGTCTCCTAATAATCTTTCTTGAATAATATATATAAAAATAATTTCTATATTTTCCTACATCATCCCTCAATTCAATATTCATATAAACCGGATAATGATTTCGAATCATGCATTGTACAAATGAATCGATCTGATACGTATTAATAACATAATATTAATATAATATTAATACATCAATTGCTGACGAAAAGTGTTCACCATTAACCACTAATTTTGATGTAAATATCTCCACAGTTACGAATGATTATATGATGCATATATGATAAATTTCCCCTCGTTTTTTATGGCTCTTTTAATAACCCAAAACGCCTGAGATATATTTGCTATATAGTTGATACTTATTATCAAATTTTAATTAACATGATATTTTAGCCGCCGGTTTAAATTACTCGAATCTTGTAATCAATACGTTTAACGTTGCATGGAGTTTCCTACTGAACTTGACGATGGAGTCAAGTTGTTAACAACTCGCGGCGAGCATTATCGACTCCTCCATTTGAGATCGAGGGCTAAGAGTCACGCTTGACCCGCGTTCGGTTACCACGGCCGCTTTCGCTGAATACATCATCGACATTCGTAATCGCGAGAGCGATATTATATCATCGACCTATCCCAACGTACGGAACCATGTGTCAGTCCGAACACGAGGGAGTCATCTATTATTTCGCACGAAGGATTCTGCAATCGTTTATGTGAATTAGCGTTCCTGGGAATTACATCCGTGGAGTCTCATTGATCGTCATTAGAGAATGCATTAGAAAATTTTAATTTTGCAAGCGACGCGACTGTAATCTGAATTTAATGCTTATAGCTCGCACGTAATTATCTGCATCGCGGATATGATGTAGAAAGTATTTCTTAACAAAAATGATCAAAGACACGATAAGTATAATATTTACACATAGAATTGTCTTAAGAATCTCAAATCTGGTATTAAAATCTCTAATAATGCAAGATAATTTTACCCAATATGCCGTACCTAAGCGATTTTTGCTAACATAAGTCCAACATTGAAACCGGATGATCAGATTCAAAATAAGAAATATTTCTGAAAATTAATTGAATAAAAATGAGACATATTAGGCGTAATTACTATATTACGAAAACTTTTTTATTTTGAATTCTAATATTCTTCGAGTGAAACATTAATTAAAGAGATGCAAAAAATATATAAAATATAATCATAAAAGTATTGCCTGAATTTTTCAATCCCTCAATAGAAAGTACCTCAATTGAAATGTCGGGAAAAAATCTGCAAGAATATAGCAATAAGATTTTATAAACGCGCCTCTCCTAGCCTTCGCCCACCTTCCTGATTTTGTAGTCTGGAGAAATAGCATTTTACTTATCCTCGAGGTTACTTCTAATGCGATGCTACGAAAGAAATATGGCTCTACGTGTTCTGGGCGTTTCTTTGTTTCGCAATTTTAGTGACTCGTGCCGCGACTCCAAAGGTATCGTCGTACAAAGTCGTGCTCGCGAAACTTCTGAATAGCGGAAAAGCGACATCAGTCGATATCACTATAACGTGTAAAGAACTTTCAATCTCTTTTACATAATAATAAATGTGCAATGAAAATCGCACGAGCCGATCGTTGCAAACATACTTGTTAATACTTACACGTCTTGTGTCGAAACTTTGATCTCGTATTTGTTGCACTTTGATACGCATTAGTTTAATTGACAACTTTAGGAAAATTGCAAATGGACAAGGTATCTGAATCTTCATACAGCCGAAGAAACTTTGTATTGTCAAGTATTTGTAATTACATTTTAAATTTATAATAATAAAATTGTATTTAAAAGACAGATTTATAGATGCTAAAAATTTACACTCTGATCATTAAAATTGCAACACTAAGAAAGGCATAAGCTATCAAAATAATATTTATATGTCAGATTATTTACAATTACATGGAATATACGGGATTGAAAAGACAAACTGGTATTTTTACTACATATACCTTATTTTCTTTCATATTCTACTATGACCTATCCACTTTACAAATTTCAATTTAGTATGGAGCGTTTTTTTCTGTGCAATTTTAATGGCCAAGAACGTATAAATGAGATAGATAAATAGACGAGTAAATTTTACGAGTTAATTTTAGCTCGAACATCAGTCCAAAACGAGCAAAAGCGTCTGCATGAAAACTTACTTATTTCAAGATTAGAGTGAAGTTCAATACACTTATTGCATAGAAAATTGGTCGCGATTAATACGGAGAAGTTAAATACAGGTACATCATGAACAAATTTATTTCTACGTGGAATAAATATAGAAATTGATTATTTGCTTTTTCATCGAATAGAAATAGAATTATCGTACGAGAGATATAGCATGCAAAATATAAACAAAGCATAGATAGGAAGATGCGTACAAATTTTAATAATTTTATTAGTCTTGCGATATTTTTTGTATTTCTTTTAATTTTTGTTATCTATATATACATATGTGTTCTATTATTTGTTCGCAGGCAAAATTCCGCGTGATGGTGGAGGAGAACGCAGCAACCGGCGCCCGGCTGGATGGCGAGCTGGAACGCGCTAGGGGCGAGTGCGCCACACTTCGGGGCGAATTACGCGACGTTCGTGGCGCCTTACCAATCGTACTGAATAATAACAACGCCGGCAATGGCAGCTCTAACAGTAACAACAATTCTGGTACAGCAACCAGTGTTTCCAGTGGCAACGCGAACCCCGGCCAGGAAGCCGAGACTCAGCAACAGGCTCAACAGGAAGATGGCAAACGGCTTAGCGCTGGCAGCAGCCCCATCGAGAAGAGAAGCTCGGCCAGTGATAAATCCGCCAGTCCCATCGACAAACGGACTAGCCCGGTAGACAGGAAAGATAGAACCAGCCCTATCGAGCGGCGAGCCAGTCCCATAGGTCTGTAACAAAACAAATTTTTTATATTTTTAATATTTAATTATTTTTCTCTATTCAACTTTCTGTGAACCTTAATTCAGCGAACTTTTATTTTGCAAACTGCTCGTTCGATTTTCATGAAACAAGAAATTTAATTGTATCTCGACTTAATGGATCTTAAACTACTATCTCTGCTCATATTTGTGTTTATTATTGCGTAATTTAATATTAAAGTAATTAGTATAATTATACAATAAAATGTGATATTTATACGATGAATTTTATAACTTCATAAATTGTTGCAATCCTATTCTGTTACACAATATACAATTTTTAATTTGAAACGTAATTAAGTGCACACGTGCCGGTGAATATTTAAAATCAATTTTTCCGAAAACAAAGCCTTATATGAAAAAATTTTATTCTATTTTTTGTATCTCATCAGTTACGAAACATTTTGTATATCTCATTTAAAAGTCAGAATATTTGAACAAGTACCGAGAGCGAATAGCCAGCTCAAAGTGCGATTAGTAACATAAGAAGCCGTTAGCTTTAAATAAAAAGATATTTTCGTACAATACTTTCATTGAAGGAGGAAACAAGATCTTAGAAGAACTTCACAGGTTGAATGTTGAAAGTTTATTTCGCGCCAAAGTATTTTCATAAAGACAGCACGAGTACGGAAATGCGTTTAAGCTGCAGGGCAGAAAGTTATCGACTTTGCGCAAGCACACTTCGGCGGATAAGACTTTTTAAGAAGTTCGCAAGAATGAAATTTTAAGACGGCGTGGCGCGAATGTTTTTCGTATTTCCACGTTTATCTTAACTTCTCTGGCGAGTTATCCTACATATTTCACAGTTATATGCTGTTGCTTTTATGACCGACCATGATTCATAATTTTCTCCGCGGCTTGAAGCCAGGATTTGCCGCCTTTAAACTACTTATTGCAACTCATAAGAGCTGAGTTCTTTATTAGGTTGCAGTTGTTATTTCGTGGGATACAAGGGCATCATTTTCTCTGTTTCTATTTATTTGCAATTTTTGTCTTGTTTAACACGTTTGTCCATTCCGAATAATGTTGGATATTAATTCGTCGCAGGGCTAATATTTTAAAAAGTACATTTTCTATCAAGATTAAATTTCAAAAATTTAAACTGCATGGCGCTAAATGTAGGCGAGACTACTTGGGGACATGTTGTACCATGAGACATTTCTAATTATTTTTTTAATAATGAGATTTTTGATGTTGTCAGCTCAGTTATATCACTTTAGTTGCAAACTAATATAACTGAATAACCAACATTAAAAATCTCGTTATTATTAAAAAAATAATTATGTTCCTAGGTACCACAATCTCGCTTATACTGTGTTTTGGTACAAGAAATGTGTTAACGGGTTCGTGAAAAATCTATTTACAGAAGATCAAAGATAAAGAGTGTACATTAATATATATTATACAACTCTTGTCCACTCTGACACATACACTCTCTCTCTCTCTCTCTCTCTCTCTCTCTCTCTCTTCTCCTTCCCTCTTCTCTCCTCTCCCTTCTCTCTTGTAGAGAAGAGATTCGAACATACTCGCTAAGGGAGAGTGGACCCCCATGTAGATGCAAATTCGGGACGAATGCACATTCGAAGCACCCATCGTATCAGATCAATCGATCATGCGCTTCACGTAGAGGTATTCATCGTCGAGATCGCCGGTTGAATCTACCTTATCGAGCACACTGCATCCGTCTCGAGTCGGACGCACGTTCCAATAAAGGCTGGCTTCATTCCAGCGATTTCTTCATGCACCAATATAAGTCGTTCTCCATTTGCTGCTACTTCTTTCCTCATTCTAGCCCAATATATTCGAGTGCGATCGTTCACAAGTTGAGTTTTGTATGAGTGTGTCTATCAAGAATCATACCATATCATTTAAGATTAATGTGACTTTTAAATAAATGCGATTAGATTATGTTATGTTAAATTTGTTGTACGCTGAATTAATTTAATTTATGATTTAAATTACATATTTATTTCAAATAGGCAGCTATATTATTGCAAATCTATTAACTAACTAATTGAATAAAACATGCCGAATCAAATGTAGAAATGCTAATTCAAATAATACGGTTCATGTAATTGGCATAAATTTGATATATTTTAACTAAGTGAAGATCAAATTTTCTACAGTTATTCTAAATAAGAGAAAATTTTAATATATGCATACAAATTTAAAAAATAGAAATTCTTTTCTATCGTGAAAAACATTAAATATTTAATATATAAAAATAAATATTTAATACTTATATATATTAATATATATATATATATTTGTCTATATTTATTTATACATATTTGAGTTTCTCTTGACATTTTAAACTGCATTCTCTCTTTCTTTCTTGTTTATTCAAAAAAATTTGAAGAATTGTCCTATTTTCATCATCAGAACGAAGAAATGGCTCGCCCTGTCGAAGTCCGAGCGAGAAAGCTCGCCGACCGTACGCCCCCGCTTTGGAGAAAACACGGCTGGGTGGATCCGGAGGTAGTGTGGATTCTCGATCGGGTAGCGCCAGCCCGGATCGGGGATCGACGAACCGAAGCGGCTTCCTCCACCGTGGTGGCAGCGACCGTTCCAGCGTGGAACGGCTCCGGATATCGACTAACCGCGACTCCTTGCGGTCCAACAAGGAGATGAACGACCACGACCAAAAAGATGTTGATAAGGATCTAGTGGATGGTGATGCTCGAGGCGATGAGGACAATGAACCTCCTGGACCAGCACCAGGCAGCAGACCATCATCCCCAGCTAATTCCCTCGGTACGTTAATAAACTCGGCATTTAATTAATAATGGACGATCAATCGATTTATCTTTTTTTACGAATCTTGCCCCTTTTGAACAAAAATATGTCTCAATTGTCTCAATAATTATTACTCTTTGTACTGAGAAAATGCGATGAATCTTAGAGTGCTATATCATTCCAATAGATGTAACTGTACCATTATAAAAAATGTAAGTCACATACTTAAGTAAGTCGTGACTTTGAAAATTAATATAAGTGTCGCACAATAATTTATATTAAAAAATAATACAAAATTATTTTGACATTTTATTTTATTTCTTTGCTTAATTGCGAATATGCGAAATCTTCTCTTATTTCTTTAAATTTATATTTATTTGAATTTTATAAATTTATATTTCATTATATATTCATATTATATTTATTATATTTTATATTTTAT